CAGTGGATTCAATCAAAGTACAAAGGAGGAACAAAATCAACCAGGAATTTTGAAAACTCAAACAACTCTATCAGAAATGAATTTATTCCCAGACTCTATGAAAATCAACTCTGGGGGAAATATCCAATTGAAAGCTGTTTGTGTTGCATGCGGAGGTTGGAATACTATGGTTGCTTGCTCACCATATCTCCCAATATTTACATCAAAGAGTGAGAAGGAAATGCTTGCAAAACTGAAAACATACTTGCATGAATCACCAGAAAACCATCAACTTTTCGATATTGACATTATCATTACAAATCCAGTTATGTAATTTACATATAAACTCTGAGAGTTTTTTATTTAATTTGGAAATTTATCAGAATTTGTAATGATTTAGGTAAATTCACAATTCATTGATTTCTTTACAATGGAGAATATTTGGAATGTTGTAAATGAGGAAAATGCATGAATTTATACATTTTTCTATCCAGTTTCATCTTTTATCTTTCCAATTTTGAACTTGTTTCCTCCAATCTCTCTTCTTTAACACCTTTACTTCAGAACCCTTATTGATTCTGGCAATTTCAATTCTAGAAATAGTTTTCTTATCAAAAAAATGTTTCAATTGGAAAGGACAACTTCTTACATGATACATGAATACAATTTCACAAATCTTACTTTTTGGACCTTGTTAGACATTTTAATCATCAAACTCTTAATCAAGATGATGTAATACTTACATTTATCCGACAAGACAGTCTTGGTTGGACCCCACCTCTTTTTGACGGACTCTTTAACGATTGTTTCTTCTCTTCCTTAATAACTGTTTCAAATAGAATGTTTTCTGCTTCATTAGAATTCTTCGAGCTGGTAACTACATTGCAGGGCAGAAGATGAAATTCTTTATATTTGGATTTTTGAGCTGAGTCAGAATGAGGGGGAGAAAGAGTTTTAAATTGTTGTGGATTTCTTTTCCTTCTAGAATTTAAATGCCACTTTTTGTTGATTTCTTCATGATTTTCTTCCTTACTGTTCTTGATGATGAAGGTTGTTTATCTTTCTTTCGTGATTTGTCGGTTAATTCTGTATTCCTTCCTAGTTTAATAAGGGTATATCAACGGAGCTTATCTTCATTTATTCTTGAGTTATTCTTTTTTTTTATTAAATTTCTCTTGTGAAACCCGCCATTTCGTTTGGCCTTAATAATGTTAACTTAATAAATATTGATTTATTTTTGCAGCAATATATTGAATAAATAGGGTTATTGAATCAAGTAAAAACCATTTTCTACAATCAAATCCATATCGTTCAAAATGCTATTAAAATGTTTCAAAAAGGAAGGTGGAAAAATTCCTCTCTTCACTAGTTCCAATTTAAAATTCTCATCTTGCCATATTGTGGTGGGAAAAACTAAACAGCTATTTACATCTCTGGCAACATTCAATAATATATCCCAATTATGTTCAACGGATCAT